CCTCTCTAGTAACGAGACCAGTGGCCTCTCACATGGCCTCTCTAGCAGGGCACAGGGCTCAGCTCAGGGCTTCCTACATTCAAGTAGTAGCCAGGCCGCCTCAGGCCCCGATCCAGGCACAGCATCACCTCTGAGACTTCCTGTCATCAATAGAAATCACAGAGTTAACATTAATTCACAGTGGAAGGGGTGAGCACGGGGAATTGGGGATCCTTGGGGACCATCTACCAAGAAGGCATCATCGATTTTGTGATATTGGAGCAGAAATCTGAATCAAGTGAAGGAATGAGTCACGCAGCAGTAAGAGGCAATGCAAACTCGCTGAGATAGAAAATGCTAGAGCTGAGCTGAGAAGTCAGGAGGCAGCCAGGGGCCAGACCGCTGCAACCCCACAACCCATGAAAAGAGATACGAGTGATTGTTTAGGAAAAACTTGCATGTGGCTGCTTGATCATAGTGCTGCTAGATCCTGAGATTTCAGGTTGAAACACCCCCTTTGCTTCTCGGTAAGGCCTCTCAGGATTAGCGTGTTGAAACTGCAGCCTCCCTCCTTGCAATCTCCTCCGTGCCTTCCCCATAGCATGGTGCCCATGAAGTCAGCTCATCTATTGTCTACTTTCTCCCTCTAGCATGTAAACTCAAAACAGTCTGGCATTGTTGTCAGTTTTATCTGCAGGCCTACAACTCATATTTGTTGTATGAATGAACTAATCAGTCTCACTGTAGCTCCAGTTGGGTCTAACACAACATTGGCCACCTGTGGAGAGGAGGCGCCGAGTATCTACTGAGTGATTGAATGGATTTAGCTACAAAACAGCTTTTATACTTTCACTTTGCTTATCCAAAAGTCATCGACCAGTAAGCAGTTATCCAGGGAAAATGGCGAAGAAAGGATGAAAGTCTTCAAAGCAGCCTAAGGTAGTGACCAAAGGTCAGTGGACAGCCCCTTGATTCCAGTGTGCCAGATAAGACCGTTATCAGACAATTGTATTCTGGAAAGTCCTGGATTAAAGGAGGAGAGATGTGATGGGCCAAGAACAAGGGAGATAGTTGCCCACAAGGGGAGGGCAGGAAGCTCAAGATACAAAGGCAAAGTGCAGGGCAGAGAATTAGGCCTGTGGGCCACGGGGACTTGTAAAATCACATTGACAATAGGCAACATTTACCATGACCCTCATGTCACTTTAAAGTAAATAAGGTGATTTCTGCTAAGAAAATGAGAATTTCTACCTGAAGTTTTGTCTGGCTGTAGGGGAGGCCAAAGTTTTATGGAGTAGACACCTCTAAGGGGGCCTTTAGCCAGTGAAGCTTAGGAATTGGTGGATGACAAGCCCAGCTTCCTCAGCCTTGGGGTGGGACAGTTCTGAGGTGTACTTGAC